GGGCTCCAAGCCAGACAACCCAGGGCTGGAATTCTAGCGCTGGGCATCTTATCCACTAAGCCTTCATGAGTCTGTTTTCCTGTCTCTGGTCCACGTTTTCAAAGAGAGGATTAAAAAAGAATGAAAGAAAAGGGCCCAGACTCATGCCTGGCACCACAGGTAACCATCATCATCATCATTACAGAATAGCTCACATAACTCCTCTGCTCTAAAATCCTCAACGATTTCCCTTTGCCTTTGTAAGAGTTCAAACTCTTCCTCCACAGCCGCGCAAAGCCCTCCAGCATGTGGCTTGGCTACGTTCATCTTTCTCTTCTATTCCCTGTTGTTGCTGGGTGTTGTCAAGCTGACTCCAACTCACAGAGACTCTATGTGACAGAGCAGAACTGACCCATCGGGTTTCCCAGGCTGAAATCTTTATGAGAACAGGTTGCCAAGTACTTCTCCTGCAGATCGGCCGAGTGGATTTGAACCGCCAACCCTTCGGTTAACAGCCAAGTGCTTAACCACTGTACTATCAGGGCTCCTTCTACTCTCTATACACCCTCAACTCCAGCCACACCAGTCATCTGCCTTCCTCCAAGGCCCTATAATTTTTCTTTTCCATAACTCTGTTCATGCCATTTCCTCAGACCAGAGGTTTCTTCCCCGAGCCCTAACTCCACTAATCAAAACGCGATCCACCTTCACACTCAGTGAAATCCCATTCTACCCAGAGCCTTCCCAATCAGATGGCCCTTACGCCGACCTCACCTTGGGCCAGGTGTACTTTAAGTGCTTGGCAAACATTAAGTCATTGAATCCCCACAGGAACTTTACAAGTTTGGAACTACTGTAGCCCATTTTACAGATGAGGAAACTGAGTCCAAGTGAGGTTAAGTGACTCCTCCAAGTTCTCATGGCTTTAAGAGGTAGAGTTGGAATTTGAACCCAAGTTGCCTCCCTCCAGAGCCCGTTTTCTTTGCTCTGTGGTACTCAAGCCTCCAAGCTCTGTCATCCTCTCTCTGATGCCTTCTCTCCCACAAAAACAGGGCTAAACCATGGGCACAGGGCTCCACAGCTTACCAGCTGGATGACTTCAAGCAAGTCATTCATGTGAGACAACTGGAACGACCCCTACTAGGCTGGACATGGATCACATGTTGATCACCTAGCAGCCTCTAGCCAATTTTAAGAGCCCAGTCAACAACAGCGATGATTACTATCATTAGGAGTCATGGTAATTTCTTGCTTTCCTCCATGCCCACTAAACGCCAAACCTCACAGATGGTTTAGGAGAGAGTCTTATGATTTGAACACTTCCTTCCAACTCATTAGGAGATTGGTGGTGTAGTGTCTAAGGCATGTGACTGCTAACCAGATGGCTGACGGTTCAAACCCACCAGCCACTCCTTGGAAGGAAGGTTGGGCAATCTACTTCCATAGTGATACCGCCTTGGAAATCCAAGGAGGGGTCACTATGAATCGGATCCAACTCGACAGCAGTGAGTAGTGAGTTCCAACTCATTTTCACAGAACTTCTGAACAACTTCTGAATCTAGCTCTGGGACCTGGGAACAAAAGGGTGCTAGTGGGCAGAGAACTTGAGGAGGTAGATAATCCAAAAATAATTGATCCCGGGTCGTGGAAAGCATTTTGTTTATGGCAGCAGGCTGACCTTCCCAATTATCTTCTGCTTAGGCTAACGTTACAGACCTGCCCGTCTCAGCAGACCAAACCGCCACATGTGTGAGGCCCACAGCCATGAAGGGCAGAGGCTCAGGCAGGCTGGGAACCTCTTGCCAAGAGGTAAACTGACTCACAGCTCACAAGGGTACCCTCGGCTCGAGGATCACCTGTACGGTGTTAATCATATGCTATACCCAGGGCCTTTTGTTTCGTATGTGACATTGGAGCTTGGATGCTGAACCCAGGCAAGACCTGTTGTAACTAGAAATGCTATCAAGAGCGGGTGGGAATCTTGTCAGCAGACCAGATGGTAGCCAAGGTGTGTATCATCAAACCCCCAACATTTCTCATGGGCCTCAATCTGGAGTCATAACAAATCCTCATGAAAACCCATTGGAGATTAGGTTCTTCAGTCTACTTTGTACAGATGAGCGAACTGGCCTCACCTGGCGTAAGCTAACTGCCTGACATCAGTCGGTCTATACTCTCCAAGTCATGGGCACATGGGGGCCTCTCAATTCCCTCCTGGCTCTTTGAGAGACCTTCCTCCAGTCTCACATGCTGAGCAGGCAAGGCTTGCATCCCTGCCAACTCACCCCCCACTGCGGAAGAAAGGTCACATCAGCTCCTTGGGTTTTCCAGGTCTCCAGGAAAGAAGCCCTCTGGGGGCAGGAAGTAGGTTGTGCTGACTCACAGGCCAAGAGAGAGTAATCCAGGAAACTTGTTCACTCTCGTTTCCATGGCGTCAGGCTGCATAAGCAGCCCCTCCTCCGAGGCTCACCCACAGGCTGCATGTCTGCGGTGCGGATGGGACACGGTCAAACAAACCCTGTGCCCCCTCCAATCCCATCTCTTCTGTGGATTTCATGCCTAGTGGTAAATGCAGTGACCCTGTTGGCATTGCTCCTCCAGACTGTAGGCTGTCTTGGGGTGCAGCCCTTTCTGGCCTGCAGAACTTTGGGGGCTCTCTCAGTGGAACCAAGAACCCCTCTCCACTCTGTTGGGGAAAACAAAGCTAAGAGACAATCTGGGTGAGCCAAGGCCTACCCAAGTGCCACTTGTCGCCCCAGCCTTCTGACTTCCTCGCACTGTTTTTAGCAAGAGGAAGAGGGAGGTGGCTTTGGACTCAAGGCCAGGGTCCTCGGGGAGGAAGAGAACTTGAGGAGGCCAGAAATGTCCCCCACTTGGTCCCCAACTCCACTGGAGAGGGAAAGGTCTGGGCCACTCTGAATCTATCTATGGCTGCAAGAAAAAGGGGAGCATGACAACATGACCCCACATTTTAAACTCGGAGCACTGCAGTGAGGAGCTGACAATCACTGGGGTTCCTCTCTCTCCCTAAAATTGCAACTTTTTTTTCCTTAAAAGAAACTTTTCTGCCCTATTTCTCATTCCTTAGGCCTGAGCTCAGTCCACCACCAAACAGGGTTCAAGTACCTAAGTGATGGGGTTCTGCATGCCAGCCCACCTGGATGCAAATCCTCCCTCTATCACTACCCAGCTGGGTGACCTTGGTACGGTCCTCTGACAACATCACCTCAAAGCGTTCTTGAGGCATTAGTGCAGGGGTGAGGGAAGCTACCCAGGGACCAGCACACAGTGAGCACTCAGTCAGGGTCAGCTATTCCTAGTAATTTTTCAGATGGCACAAGACAAAGAGACTGGCCTCTTCGGATGTGGGAGCGACAGAACAGAACTCCAAAGTATGGACAAAAGCTAAACACTAGAATGCCACTCCCTTACACACACACTCACACACTCCCTTGATTTACTTCTCAAAGTTGGAGAAACTTCTGAGTTGTTGATGAACTGCCCCATAAGGTTTCCTCGGCTACAATCTTAATGGGAGCAGGTCCTTCTCCCATGGAGCCACTGCTGTTGTTATTTGCTGTCGAGTCAGACCCGACTCATAGCAACCCCTCCTTGGGTTTCCCAGGCAGTATCTGTACAGAAGTAGATTGCCCCATCTTCCTTCCAAGGAGTGGCTGGTGGGTTTGAACTGCCAGCCTTCTGGTTAGCAGCCAAGTGCCTTAGGCACTACGCTACCAGAGTGGGTTCAAATAACCAAACCTTCAGTTAAGCGGGTTAAGCACTTAACCACTCCATCACCAGGGCTAACTTCTGTGTAGTAGCGTTCATTCAGAAATCAAGGCCCAGAGAGGTAGAGTGATTTACCAAGGTCACACAGGCAGCAATCTCCTGGCCTTTCTCGGGCTCTGGGCTCACCTGGGGTTGTCTAGGAAGCCCAGGCTCTGCTAAAGTGGCCCACTTGTTTGTGGAATACAGGGAGCAGCGACCCAGACACACGCCCTAAGCAAGAAAGCACACGTGGTGCAGCCACACCCTCTCCCAAGGCCAAGGGCTCAGCTCATCCAGGGCAGGCAGGAATGCTCTGGGCTGGTGTGTGTGTGGGGCCGACCCCAGTCAGGCAAGCTGATGTCATTGGATGTGGTAATAAGGACTTGTTATGTGGTGCCCTGCCTCAGATAGACTCCAGATTCCAGGCCTGAAAGTAACCACAGGGCCACTTGTGAAGCCCACCTGTGGGCCTCACCCTCTGAGCCCTGGGAGGCCTGCTCTCACTCCAGCTGCGGGGAGTATGGGGCGGGGG